GTTTTTAATACAGAAAACCCTGAAGGATGTGAAGCTCTCAGAGGTTCTCACAAAAGGATCAGGATTTGCATTTTTCTGGTCCTTGAAGAGCTTCAGCTGCAGCAGGTCCAGCCCAGCAGCTGGGGAGCCTGTTGTGCCTCAGACTGAGCTGCTGAGCAAGGACAACACTCCCAAAGCTCTGGCCCACAGCTGGCAGGAGGCTTGGCTGCCTTGTTGGCAGGAATTCCTGAAGCTTTCCTGTCCAGCCCAGCTCCTCTCTGTCTGCTGCTCCTGCAAGCGTGACTTTTATCAGTTACACTGAATTCTTCTCCTCACCTGTGGCAATGGAGAGTGAATCAGTCAGGATTTAGTGCCCATGGGCAACCCAGGGCTCTCAGATCAGCAGCTCCTGTGCTCTGAGGGCAAATCCCCCAATCCTGAACACCCTGTGGGGTGCTGGGGCCTGCCCAGAGCAGCCCCTGCTCCCCTGGGTGACATCCCACACCCTGGGCTCCCTGCCCTCGTGCTGGGATCGGGGTCACTGTGTCAGGAGGGGGTTTGGTCGGGGCCAGAGGCTGAGCCCTGCCCTGGCCTGGTGTTGGGCACGTGGGAGAAGGAAGGAATGTGGTGGGGGATGACTGTGCTGCTTTCATGGAGAGCCACAAACCCCAGGAAATGCAGCTCAAACCTATAGCCCTGGTCAGGCCTCTTGCAGGGAGGGATGATGTGAGGCATGAATGGAGATCACAGAGGAGGGAAAGCAGGGAAAGAGCTGCAGGGATGTCTGAGTCACCCGGTTTCCCACTGACACACAGCTGAGTGTTTTCACAACCACCTCCACGGAGCAACCAAGTTACAACCCAATTCCAGAGGCCCTGGAGTCCCTCCTTGCTGTCAGGTGCTCAGGGCAGATACCAGCCAGGGGTGCCCCTGCCCAGCCACGAGGCTGAAGGTGCAGCTGCTTCAAGTGCCAGGCTGGGTGGGAGGGCACAGGAAGGGGCTCTGCCTGTACCACAGTCCCACTTGGATGGGGCAGCCCCCGGAGCAAACACCCCCACATTCATCCCATGTAGCATCAGCACTGCACCACTCAGCTGTGGGCTTGCTGGGAAGGTGCCCTTTGGTGGGATTTGGCAGTGCTTGGGGTGAGGAGGGTGAAGGAGCCCATGAATCAGCCCCGGGGGGCTGCCCACGGTGCCAACCCAGAGCATCACACAGGCTCTGCTGTGTTCCTGCAGAAACCCCAAGAATCCCTTGGAAAGGCAAATTCCCTCTTGATATATCAGCCTGTAAGGGAAGCCTCAAAACCTTCAACCCAGCAGATGTGCCTGCCTTTAGGAAAGGCAGCCCACGGGAGCAGTGTGGGGTCACACGTGTTTGTGCCAATCGACTCTCCAAAGGAAACACAGCTCGGGGTGGGGGAGCTCCAAATTCAGCCCTAACCCCCTCCCTCCTGCTGTGGAGCATTTATGGGGTTTGCCTGGAGTAAAGCAGATGCTCTGATGGAAAATGGCAGGTGAGAGAGGATTTCCCCAACCTCCTGAGCTGCTCCAGCCGCTCGGGAAAGGGCAGATCCGGGGAGGTGCAGAGCCTGGGAAGCACTTCTGCAAACACATTGCTGAGTCTGCAGTGTTGTTTCTTTTTTAAACTCTCTCCTCCAGCAATCTGAAAAGCTGTGGGGACTTTTCCAAAGCAATGGCAGGGTCCTTTCTAGGTGGTTATGTGCTCAAAGCAGGGTTGACTTTCCACTGTGGGAAATGTCCTCACGGATGAGCCGCTTTTCTGTACTTTATTTGTCCAGAACTTGCCACCAACAGGCACTTTGCTGGAACTTCTTTGAACAGCAGAGATAAACTATTGGGTGGTGGGATTTGGGGGTGCTTGGCACGATGCCACTGACCCCTGCCAGGCTCTAACTGAGGGCTCAGCTCGGATTAATCCTCTTGCTTTCCATTTGAGTGCCCACACTGATGGTCTCCAACATTTGTCCCCTCCAGTCTCACTGACCATCCCCCAGGAGCCACTCCTGCCTTGAGAGATTCCTGCAGGTGCCTGGAGGCATTTTTCTCCTCTCTGAATCAGTTTTTTCTCTGGGTAATGTTTAACTGCTGATTACATGTCCTTCCCTCCCGTGCCCCCCCACCTGATGAGCATTCCCAGGAACCCTCCCGGAGCGTGGGATGTGAGCAATGGGCAGAACCACCTTGCTGCAAGCAAAAGAGTCTGGGTTGTGTCATGGTTTTGGGTTCCTGTGTCGTGTTTTGGGGCTCCTGTGTCGTGTTTTGGGGCTCCTGTGTTGTGTTTTGGGGCTCCTGTGATGCTTTGTACCTGCTCTAACAACCATCACCTTCACGTGCACGAGCGCAGGTGGATTTTCTTCCCCAGTTGCTGTGGTGGGTCTTGTAACCCACCAGACCCCGTTTTTCATTCCCAAATCCCAGGTTAATTGTGCTGCAGGCACTGGTGGGAGCTGCTACTCACAGATATGGTTCTGTGAAGCTCTTTGAGCATGGAATGATCTCCCAGCTCCCGCTGAGTCCGGATGAGCTGGGAATGGGCCTTGTTCTGTACAGGGAATTCTCTCCCTCCTGGTGACTTCCCTGACTGAATTGTTTGCTCATGAGCTGCCTCCAGCACAGGAGCTGCATTTCTGGGATGTGCTGGTGTATCCAAACCCATCTGGTGTAACATGTAGTGTGGAAGTGGCTCCAATCCCTTCCAGAAGGCACAGGACTTGCTGCAGGGGGGGGTGTATCCCAGATTTCCAGATGAGCAGCCGTGATCTGAGCTGTTGAATCTGTGCAGGGATGACTGAACCCTTGAGGATTCCCAAGGAATATGTCTGGAGACACGGCTCAGTGTTGTTGGACAGGAGTCTCTTCTCCCAAAAACAGATCATTGCATCTTCTCCTCTTTGTTATAGTGAGTTGGATCCCGTGAGAGTTCTCATTTGCCAGCTCTTGGTTACACAACTTGGAGTTGGTTCATTTGGTGCCTTTGTGTAGAGTCATAAGCTAAAAATGTAGAATAAGAGCTTTCTAATAATCATTTTTAAAAAGCTGCCAGCAAAAGACAACCTCTAGCATTGCTTTCAGGAATAAGCTTCAAATTTGCTCCCAGCTCTCTCTTGATGTATCATCTGTGCAGTGCATGTAAATGGGAATTTGGGTTTAAAATCTTATTCCATTTCCTCTTAATGAATTATTTCAGACCTAAGTAACAAAGTAATTCCACCTCCTGCAAATGCAGCCACGGGACCAAATGATTTATTGCAAATGTCTTTTAAGGACCTCACTAAGTAACCACAGCAGGTTAAACAGACCTTTTTTCTCTTGTATGATGTTATTAGTTTGAAAAAATCATGTCTGTTTGGCATTTCTGGATGGGGAGGGGATTTTATGCATCCCAGCTTCCTGCCTGGAAGCTCAGACAAGCAGTAAATCCTGCCTGGGTCCAGGGTGGGAAGCTCTAGGTGACACATATGATATTTGTCAGGGGAAAAGGGGTGATCTGGGCTGTTTAAAAGGCACAAAAATTAAGAACAGGCAACTGAGCCCAACCCAGCAGCCCCCCCTGGGCAGTTCTGTGCCCAGGCTCTGAGCTGCAGGAGCTCCAGCAGGGTGGTGGTGCTTGCTGGGGTTTTTTCCATTCTAACTTCAAACCCTGGTTCTGTTGGATATTTCACAAGGCTTCTGATCCCAGTGTGCCTCAGATCCTGGCCTGTAACCAGTGGGAAAATACCTCTGGCTTGTTTTGCTTCCACATCCTGGCTTGCCTGCATGGGCAGCCCTACCCTGAAGGGTCTGGGGTGGTTTTTTAGGGTCTGAATGCACTTTGCTGCACATGGTGGAGTTGCTGTCGTTCCCATGAATAAGTCCATTCACCCAGAGGGAGAGGAGAAATGTGTGTGGCCCAGAATTTTAAAGCAAAAAAAGAGGATTAGAACTGGGAAATGTGCAGTTCACAGCCTCGTTCAGGCATTGCTCCTGGGCAAGTCAGGGACAAAAGTCTGTTGGGTTCCTGTTCCCAGGTGTGGCTCTGGAAATGAGGGGGTTTCTTCCCAGGGATTTGGTTCTCCCTCCCTCAGTTCCTGTCACCTGTGTGAGCTGAGGGGTTTGAGCCCCTCTCACCACACGAGCCAGGGAGGGTGACTGAGCTCCCCTCCTTGGTGCTGCTGCTGCACAGAGCTGCTGCAGTTTGCAGAACTTTCTCTGGCCTGGCAAGGAAATGCAAAGCTTTTAACGTGTGTTTTAACAACAGCTAAACCTGGGGAGCTCGTGCCAGACCCTGAGACAAACCCACGAAGGTGCTGCTCTGCCGTGGGGACACGAAGGGGCTCGCACAGACAGGGGTTGTTCCCTTGAGGCCACAGCTCTGCCCCAGCTGCCCCCCAGCAGTTTGAACTCGGGGTTTCTTTCCCTCCTTCCTCCCTCTTTAGAGCCCCTCAGGGGGGATCTGGGCACATTCAGGTCCCACTGAAGCACCACGTGGTGTTTTTATCTCAGTCTAAAATCCCCGCTTGTCCCAATCCCCGCTGATGTTCCCAGTGATGCTGGGAAGGTGCTCCATGCAAACCCCACCTTTTTCTAGGTGGCCAAGCACTGAATTTGGGTGCATTCCTCACCAGCACCTGCCTTCCCTGGCAGGGAGTTGGTTCTCCAAGCCCAGCTCTCCTGGATAAAGACTCAAACAGAGCCCTCTGTTCCCTGTCCCCCCTCTCCTGTAATTGTGCAGGAGCTGCTGATGGGTGAGCTCTGATCCCCATCCCCTCCTGAAGGAGCAGGGGGGGCCCCCCAGCTGAAATTGGGCAGGGCAGGGGGGGCAGGAGGGCAGGTACCAACGGGGGCATCGCTCCCATGGGCCAAAACAACCTACACACTGTGTCTGCCAAGGTGTTTTACATGGAAACGGGCCCGGAGCTGAACTTTATGGAAACATTTGCAGCTCTGTAAAACAACCAGCAGTGTGAGCGAGCCTCCACCCCCAGGCTGGGTGAGTTAGAGGCTCTCAAAGGCCAGGCAGGTGTGTGTGCACAGGGGGAAGTGCAGCAGTGTGTCATGGAGAAGGAATGTCCTGTGATTGCTGTATCAAAGTCCATTTCTTCTCCCCTGCTGAACGGCTTTTGTCCAGCACTCTTGACTTTCCATGTGCTTTCCCATACAGAGCGGGATCCAGGCTGCAATGCCCCAAAAGCAGTGGGTTCCCATGGGCTTTGCTGGGCTTTGCTGGGTCCCTGAGTCTCGCAGCAGGGGCTTGGTCAGGTGGAACCTGCTGATTCACGGGGCAGGGACTTGCTGCAGGTAAAGGACAGGCCCCTCCTGCCCTGGCTGGAGACACAGACCTTGGAGACACGGGCCTTGGACCTCTTTACTTGCTGCACCATTGAGAAAAAACCTGACCTGATGCATTTTTCCAATTGTTTGTTCCCACCCTGGCGGATCAATTAATCCTTTTCGTAAACAGGAGGTTTCACTGACAGTAAAAATCCTTTGGGTTTGGGTGACTCATGCACAAACAGCTCAACCCTCCTCAAGGTGGTTTGAACCAGGTGGAAGGTAGGAAGCAGGAGTATTACATGACCTAATAACAAACTATTCAGCCTTATTTATTTGGGGGTTTTTATTTTAGCAGCCAGAGGAGGAGCAGAACACTCCTGTGAGCCTGGGGTTTGAGCTCTTCTGGTCAGGAGCCACAAGGTGAGAGTTGGACGTGTTTTTTCCTGAATTTTCTGAATTTTGCCCATGCCCAGCTTTCCCCAGCCTGCAGAGGGATGGAGAGGCTCTTCAGCCTCTGCTGCCAATGTACAACCCCCCATCCCCACAGTTCTGAGTGGTGGGGAGGGGCAGGGACAGCTCTTCCCTGAGCTCTGGTACCTCTCAGGTGCCCCCAGGTGCGTGTGAGCCCTTTCCCTGTGCTGCACTACAAGGCTGGGCAAGCTCTAAACACAAAATATTTCCGTGTTGAAAGATCTGCAGCTGCTGTTCGTGCTGCTGAATTAAGGTGGCCTGGGCTGAACAAAGGCATCATTCAGCCAGAGGAGAACGACCCAGTTACAGGCTCGGGACAGAGTTATTTTGGGGGTTTAGATTAAAAGAAGAAACCCAAACCTTTTACCTTTGGGGGATTGAAGTATTTGGTGAAATGGACCTTGCAGTCCTGATCCCACATCCCCAGGCAAACCCTGACTGCTTCCCTTCCTGCTGGTTCTTGATCCCTCTCATCCCTGCCACGGAGCCTCCCAAGGACACACCGTGTGTTGACTCAGCTGGTGCCCTCCCCAAACAACCCCCTGCCTGTCACTGTCCACCCCATTGTGTCCTCCTGCCTCCCAAATCTCTGCCTGCCACCCTGTGTGGTGTTGGATAGAGGCTACTTTGCAGAAACCTTTGGGAAAGCCTCCCCAGGGGGAAGGGAGAGCAGGCTGCCTGTCAGATTCCCAGTTATTTTTCTTACCAGCTGATTTCTATCTGCTGAATTATTCCTGGCTGTCGTGTATCTTGTGCTGTGCAAAATTACCTGCACCAAGAACATGCCACAGGGCCACACTATCCCAGTGGAGTGTAACAGAGCCCTGCCTGGTTGAACTGGGAAGCATCTGAAATGGGAAACTCAATTCCATATCGAGTGTTGAAGAATAATTTACTTTTCAAAGGATAGCTGGAGTGTCCCAGCTCTCTGGAGCTGGGAGCTGAAGTGGTTCCAGAGGACTGTTGGAAGTGGTGCTCACACCTCCCTCGGGCTGAAGGAGCCCTTTAATGGCTTGGGTTACCAGGTGCACTGAGAAAACATTTGGGAAAGGCTTATAAAACCAGGAAACATCCAGGCTGCTTTGTCTAGATCTAGTTTTACTCAGACCCAGGAACAGGCATATTTTCAGCTGTCCACTTGGAAGCTTGTCCACTTCCAACAACAGAGCTGAGGTGACACCGGGGTGAGGGAGGTGCTGGGCTGAGCTCACACCAGCCCTCTGTCACAGCAGTCACCCTGTCCTGGGGTGGCTCTTGTTTGCCATGGAACTTCTGGAGCTTCAAATCAGGCTTCTTCACATCAGATGAATGAAACCACCCTAAATTCTATTTTAGAATGGAGTTTTTAAACCTTTCTGTGCTGACTTTTCCCCTTCCCTCAAGACACGTTGCTGAATTCTGAGTGCAGAATTGTATCTCAACCTGAGATGATAACCTAAAAATCCTAAAGCTTTTAAAATACCCATTATTCCAAACAGCAATGGTACATAGCAACAATGCACTGTTGTGTTTATGTCTTATTTTATCCTTTTAATACCAAACAGGGGATATTTTAAAGCAAACTGCTCAAGATTGGGGCGAAATTTCCATTCCAGATTTTCACCACAGTGAAAACATTAAGAACCCCAGCTCGGTGAACCCTCACTCAGTAGGTTCTGACCCTTTAATGGACAGTTGCCTAATTATCACTGCCAAACTGGGGTTGATATTTCATTAATGTTTTATGAACTCACTGCCCTGTTTCCCCCTGCAGCTGAATCAAGATGACGACGGCCACGCCACTGAGCAACAACACCCAGCTCTCAGGGAACGTGACCACAAAGTCTCAAGAACAAAGTCTCTACCAGAGTAAGAATAGGAATGGGCTGGTGGCTTTTTTTATTTTATTATTTTATTTTTTTAAGTGGACCTTTGTACTTACCAAACTTCAAAGAGTACAGTGACAACTTTGTAAAAAAAGGGGGTTTTTTTCCCCTCCCTGTTTCTCTCCCAGGTTCTGGAGCAATAGTTGCTGCCATCGTGGTGGGAGTGATCATCATTTTTACAGTGGTTCTGCTCACCTTGAAAACATACAACAGGTACGTGGCCAAGTTCTGTGTTCACCAAAATGGACCAAAGTCCCCGCTCTCAGCCAGCAGAGCACTTCAGGATTTGTTGCTGACAGTTTCCAGAAGAATCTAAACCTCTGTGTGCTGCTGGAAGTGTCCTAATTCTCACAGTCAGTGCTCTGTGACTGGGTTGTTAGGAAGCAGAATTCCTTCATGGGGGATGCTTGGTGGAAGCTCTTTTTAGGGATTTCTGTGATGCAGGGAAGGTGTGAGCGTGCAGCAAAGCTGCCAGAGGGGAGCTTGATTTCTCACTTCTTGTGCTCTGGAAGCGCTGACTTGCCATTTTGTACCTTTGGGCTGAAATTGAAAAAAGAAATTGAAAAAAAAACTTAAAAAAGAACATTAAATTGCTGGGTGAACTGGCAAGTGTTGTGTTTGTTCTGAGCCACACAGCAGACTGCAGATATTATAAAGAGTTTTAAACAGGCTTAATCCTGTTAAGTGCCTGTGCCACAGGCAGTCTTTAGGATTCCCATGGTCTGGACTAGCAAATGGGAATGTCAGGAGTTTGTTCCCTTTCAATGTGTGATGACTTTGCAGCATTGTCATGTTGCTCATTCCGGGTGCTTTCTGACCAAAGTGGTTGGGGAGCTTAGAATTTTGAGGTTTTTTCTTATTTGTTATCATTTGGTTCATTGACAGCTGCTGTTATTGCTGGTGCTGAGCCCCTTCCTCCAGGCACAGGGAATGACATGGATTAAATTCCATGTTTTCCATCAGTGATGTTGTTTTCCTGAATAAACTTCCCAGGCCGTGGGTTTGCTCTGAGTCCTTAACAGCCCATCAGGGTTCGGCTGTAGCTCTGCACTTCCTCTGTCGATTCTTTGGGATGAAATCCTGGCTTTTACTGACTTTCAAACAACTGTACAATGCAACCTGGCTCTGTGGGAACCTTCCCAACCCTCCCCACGGCAGCACCAGCCCCGCTGACGGTCCCGTTTCCTCTGCAGGCGCATGCGGGTGAGGCGGGAGCTGGAACCCAAACCCCCCAAGGCAGCGATGCCACCTCCTCTGGGGCACAACAGCCACGGCCTGTGCCAGCCTCCCACGGTGACCTTCATCCCTGTGGACATCCACCTGCACGACAGGTAACCGGGAACACTCGTCCTCCCCGGCAGACAAGAGGTGGAACTGTCGCTCGCACGGACCTGGGACTCCTCAGCAAAGCCTTTGGAACAGCAACAGGCTGTTGCTTCGCCTGTGGATTGTAATTAATCCCGATTTCTCTCTTTGAGAGGAAAAATAAGAGGTCTGGACACTCTTCCTGTGGCTGAAATCAGCTGGTGGAGGCACAGGAATCATCAGAGCCCGGGGTGTGGGGAGAGCGGACGAAGCGAGAAGGCGCCAGCTCAGATTTTGTGGAGCTTTTGCTGGCTCAGGGTTTGAACTTTCTCTGTTCTTGCTGGTAAACAGGAAGAAAAATCTGGACGTGCCACAGCTCAGGTTGGAGCTGGGTTTGTTGTGAATTACATGGCACAGGTTTGTGGTGTGTTTTACACACGATGGATGGCACAGGAAGCAGCAGAATTGTATTTATCGTTACTCACCTGTCGTGTTTCTAAGCCCACGCGTGTATGGGTTGAGATAAAACGGTACTTTTTATTTTCAAGCATTTTTAAACTGTTTCTATAAACCATGTAACTCTCCATTTCCAAAGGAGCTCGGGTGTCTGAGGGTTTTCACTCTCGAGAATCGCTTCGGGTCCAGGCCTGGAGCTGCCTGAGAATGTTTTGTCTCTTGCACAAAATGTGAGTTCTTTAATTGGAAAAATAACCCTGGGAATAGAAGGAATAATCTTTTATAAAGCAAGTGAGGCTTTGCAGAGCCCCAGTGTGCCACTCACCCCCTGCAAGGCTTTGTTCCCTGGTGCAGACCGGGCTCCAACTATTTTTAGAAATTTTTTTATCCTAGAAAGGAACTGAGAAAAACGGTGTTGTTTTGTGAGTGTGATGGTTGTGGGTGTCCAGCAATGCCACAAAGGAATTCCCAGGGATATTCACAGCCCACTGAGTGGGAACACAGAGCAGCATTGTCAGTCGGTGGCTGATTGTCTGAGGGTGTGTCAGAGCAGCCCCCAAGGGGCTGGCAGAGACAGGAAGGATTTTAGGAAGGAGCTGAGGAGTTAAACCTCGTCTTAAAGGGAAGGACATGAGGCTCTGGGGAACAGCTCCACTCCCTGACACACAGAGCTTAAATTTTATGGAATCACTCACTGGAATGGCTGGACAGAGGGAGAAGTTACTGTTGTCTGACTGAACTGATCAGAGAACCTCCAGCTTTAGAGCTTTTTGTCCTGCAGCTTCTTCCCAACACGTCACCAACAGGTACATCCCTGAATCCCCCTGTCCTCAGGGGAGGGTGGGGAGGGACTGGGGGACAACTTGATCTATTTTTTATATATTTTTTCCAAGAAGCCACCTCTTGAACAGGTCACTTTTACTAACTGGTGGTTTGTTGGGTTTGGTTTGGGGGTTTTTTGGGGTTTTTTTTGTGCAGAAACTAAATTCAATTACTTTGCAGTATTATTTTTTTTGTCTGAAACTGGAGGAGGGTTTGAATTCCAAGCTAAATATTGAGACAGCTGCTTGTGAAGTTTCTGAATCTCGCTGTAAATATTTTACTTATCCTAGTTCTCTTATTTTTTGTGGCAGGGGTGATTGATTTAATCATTCAGAAGGGACAGCAGATGCAAATCTAATTTTTTTCCTAAAAAAATATGAAGGAGTTGACCTTCTGTTGCTATCTCTGATCAGCTAAGGATGTTCTCTGGGCATATATTGGAATCAAGACTTTTAGAAAAGATAAGCCCCATCCTACTGTTATGTTCAACATCACCAGCCAGACCTACTTCTAGCAAATTTTGTTTACTTTCCATTTACTTCATTTCAAACCACTGAAGTTCACGAGCAGAATAAGCAGAGCTACTGTGAGCAACTCTGCTTTTGTAGAATTACTGTTCCTGGCAGGAGAGTCACTGCTTTGGCCTCACCAGCATTTGCTCAATCGAGAAAATTCCAATCCCAGTAAAAATTTGCCTCGTGTTGGCCCATCCTGGGAGGCCCCCACGATCCCCTCCTGGCAGCAAAACCCGGGAGCTTGTGCTGAGCAAGCAAAATCACCTCCCTAAGAAACAAAAACCCCCCTGTATTTCCACTTGTGTAATTTGCTGTGGATTTAAGTTTTCCAGGAACAATCCCACGCTCTCCCTGCGCCGCCTCAGTGCCGACTCGACCTGCCCCGTCTCGGCTCCCTGATTCCACTCCCAAAGGCCCAGATTTTGGGAAAGCCCCCCTTCAGCTGCCCCTGCTGCTCTCCTGCCCCCCCTGGGAAACCAGCTGGTTAAAGAAACACTGAAAGCTGTGGAGAGAACAGGCAGTGTCAGTGCAACACTTTGATCCACACAAGACTCGCTGGAGATTATCCATGAAACTCTGCAAATTAACAAGATTTGGGCACTCGTGGCCCCAGGGCCTTTCTCCCTGGGAGGAACAAGCAACATTTCCAGCCCCTTGCTCTGTGCTTTGGTTCAGCAGTGACAACGAGGACATTGGGGCCGCAGGGCAGAGAAAAAAATATCACTACAAGTTTTTTCCATAGTCTTGCAAGAATCAGTGGTGGAGTTTTTTTTTGCTCCTAAAAGTCCTCTGGAGTGCCTTCAGCAGGTCGGGTCCTTCAGTCTCACAGCTGGCACCTTAGAGATGCAAATATGCCGGTAAAATGTTTAATTTTGCACCGCTGGGTAAGTCCCGACCCCAAAACTCCTGCAGGGCGGCAGCTCTCACCCCTCATCGTCACCCTCATACCCCAGCAGAGAGCACGGAGCTCCACCTAGTGTCCTCCTCCCTCCCGGCCGCCTGGAACTCGCGTTTCCCAACAAAACCACAAAGCAATTCCAAGTTTAGCTGACAACTGAATTCCTGACACCACCTTGACCCCCATCCCAGTCCTCCTTCCCGTGCTGGAGCAGCTGAGCCCAGCACTCCCCCAGGTTTGGCCGTGCAAAGCACAGACCATGGCAGGTCCAAGCAGATAAAATACAAGAATGCTCTTTGGGTTTTATTCCCGAGTCCCATAAACAATTTATCTCCCAAAAACACAACCATAAACCCACGTGCCTCTCACGTGGCTGCTGCTGAAGCAGGAAGCAGCTGTGGTGCTTTGAGTAGCAATTAATTTTATTTATTAATTATTATTAATAATTTTTTTATTTAAAGCAAACTATCCTTATTAAAGATGAAGGACATAGGAGTTACTTTTGGATAAAACCCAAGGCTGTCACTGTGGGTAAATTTGTATTGACCTCAGTGAGTTGTAACTTTACTCCCACATCTTTCAGCAGGTTACATTCATGTGACCTGCACCAGTCACACCAGTTTGCTGTCCTGGACACTGGTGACTGAGGTGTGGGGAGAGAACTCTCACAGCAGTGTCTCTGTCCAGTTCTGGGCTCCTCAGGACAAGAAGGATGAGGAGGTGCTGGGGAGGGTCCAGTGGAGGCTGCAGAGATGATTTGGGGTCTGGAGCATCTCTGGGATCAGGAGACACCACGGGAGCTGGGCCTGGTCAGTCTGGAGGACGGAAGGTTGAGAGGGAACCCATAAATCCATACAAATATCTCATCAATCCACACAGATATCTCCAAGGGGTGTCACAGGATGGTCCCAGATTCTTTTCAATGGTGCCCAGTGACAGGACGAGAAGTAATGGACATAAAGCAAAACATAACAAGTTCCACCTCAACATGAGGCAGAACTTCTTTCCGTGGAGGTGGCAGAGGCTGCCCAGGGAGGGCGTGGAGTCTCCCTCTCTGGAGACATTCCAGACCCACCTGGGCGCGGTCCTGTGTCACCTGCTCCAGGTGACCCTGCCTCTGACTGTGTGATTTCCAGAATGCCTTTCCAACCCCAACCATTCCGCCATTCTGTGACGGCTGCAGAGCCCCGTTTTCCGTCGCGAACGCCCCGTCATGTCGGTCCGGGGGCTGTTCCCGCGGGCCGGAGCCGCTGCGCCCTCACGAACCGCCCGCGCCGCCATCGCTGCGGGGTAGTCACGGCCCCCGCGAGGGCACGCGAGATCTCGCGAGACTACGGCGTCGCAACCAGCCGCGCGTGTCAACATCTCGCGAGAGCAGGAGTCACACATTCACACACGCACACCCCCCCGCGCGCGCGCGCGCCGCCGCGGAACGCTCTCTGATTGGCCCCCGTCCGACCCTCCAACCAATGGGCAGGCGCCTTGTGGCCCCGCCCCTTCCCTCGCGCTCTCCCTCCCCGCCCCTTCTTCCTCCCCCGGCGCGGCTGGGGGGGGGTGCGCGGTGCACGCCGGGACGGCAGCGCGCGCCGCGGCCGGGAGGAGGCGGAGGAGCCAAGATGGACGCCGGGTTCTTCCGCGTAAGTGCCGGGGCCCCGCCGAGGCCCTGAGGGCGGGCTGCGCTGCGGCCGCACCGCCACGGGGCGCGGGGAGGGGACAGGCCGAGCCCGCTGCGTGAGCCGCGCTGGGGCCGCGCTGCTTCGCGCGGCGGCCCGAGCACCCTCCCCCCCCCCTCCTCCTCCCCGCGCCCTGCGCAGGCTCCTCGCCGCGGAGAAAATGGCGGCGGCGCGGCCCGGGCGGGAGCGTGAGGGGAGCGGGGGGCGGAGGAAAGAATCGGGGCTGAGAGGATCCTCGCCGGCAGGATTGTCGCTGGGAGGACTCTCCTTCCAGCGGGGAAGCTCCTTGGCCCTCCCCGGTCTCAGGGCCCGACCCACGCGGGGCGGTGTCACGGCTGCGACCCCCAAGCCCCCCGGGCTGTGGGAGGGGGGACCGGGCCGGGAGGCCGCGGGGAGCGAGCCTCGCTCTGCGCTGACCACGCTCTGCTGTGTCCGCGTTCGAAGCGACCAAACAAACCTGCCCCCCCTTTTTTTTTTTTTTTTTTTAGAGAGGGATTTTTAAGGTTGTTAAGTGTATTCATGGCAAAACGAAGTTGTGCCTTATTCTTAACCTTGATCTCTTATTTTAATCATTGAATTTTGTCTCTGTTGCAGCTATGCTGCATTTTCTGCAGAGGCCATTAAACCTGCCTAGGTTTAATGCCTGCTTCTTTTCAGCTTTTTCTTCCATTGGAACGACCTTAGTTTTGGTTTTCCCTGGTAGTTTTGAAAGCCAGTTTAAATTTTCAAGATTCATTCACTTGTTCTTTTCAATTTCTGCAACTAGGAAGCTTATAAAACACGGCACACACATAACCCTTCCCTCCATTCAGTTTTGTGTTGAGAAAAATAATTACGAGTTAAATCTGCACTTGTTCCAGCGCAGTTGTTACAAAGTTTGCAAACCAAGTGGTTGTAATTGACAGCACAATTACTGGGGCTGAAAACACTGAATTAGAAATCTAACCTTCTTTTAAACTGGCCTGTGAAGGTGACATTTTATAAAAACAGAAGCAACGTGGCTCTGAACTGGGGCTGTGAACAGTGTTCTGGCTTTAGTCTGGGTCCTGGAGGAACCAAAGTTCTTGTGAAATGACACAAGTGCAGCAGAGCAGCAGTTTGGACTCCCTGTCTCAAGAAAGCTCCTATTAATAGTTCTTTCAGTTCTTCACACGTGTGTGAAGTTTCAGTGCAAACTGTTTTG